ACCTGTTTCTCAAGTTTAAAAGAGCCATCCAGGAACACTCTGAGGTTTCTTACAGTGGGCGAGAGATGTCTAGCGAGAGGGCCAAGGGCATCAGCTAACTGGTCTTTAACATATCTTTGCCACATAGATTTGTGGAAATTCATCAAATCTGACAAAACAGCAGGCTTAGAGTGAGGCCTTTCTATCTTTTTTTTTTAAAACATTATATCTAATCTACATGTTTAGGGTTGGGACTCCAGTCTTATGTAATACATTGTCAATATATAAAAGAGGGTGTGTGCTGCACATGTCACACCTTGCAATTTCAAGAAACTCTTCTTGCAAGGAGGGATCAGTTGGTTGTCACCGTGCATAGGTAATAATCTCTGTTCCTTTCAATGATAGCTCTCACACGGAGTTAGGTGTCTCTGAATTATTATTATTTTCCTTGCACCAGAATCTGTCGGAAGACTTTGATCATCATCATGGCTAAATCTGAAACTTGTCTCGTCAACTTGCATTACCAAGATGGCAGCGAGGGAAGCCCCTCCAACCCTGCCAAGTTCAAAAATCAGGACTTCGCTCAGATAAAAGCTGACTGCTTCCGGAAAGGAGAACTGTTCCTGGACAATGAGTTCCCACCAAACGGTCTTTCTTTGGGTGACCTGCCTGATATGAGTTCCTCACAGGAGAGTGAAGTGAAATGGCTTCGACCGGCAGTAAAATCATTTTAAATATATTTATTTTTCTTTCACTTTGAAATCTGATGGATTGTAAGTTAGCGTTTCTGTACAGTAGGAAAAACTGATTCTTTTTACACACTTGTCAACATCATATTTTTCTCCACTGTCTTTTCAAGGATTTATTGAGAGAACGAGGAAAGAAGGATCAGCCTGCTTTCAGTAAAGATGGTATGTCACGATTTGACTTTGGACAAGGCGACGTGGGTAAGCAAAACTTTCTTGCCTATAGCTAATGACAATGACAAGTATGTTCCACATCTTGGGAGAACTATTAGTTTCCTCCTTTAAACAGGTAACTGCTGGTTTTTGTCTGCAATATCTGCGCTGACCTTCCAAGAAAATCTGATGGCACAAGTTGTGCCAATGGATCAGTCCTTTGAGAACTATGCAGGAATATTTCACTTCAAGGTAACAAAGGATTAATAAATGTGTCTAAAGAATACTTTTATAAAACAGAAACACAACACATTGTGGTTAATTATTTCAGAGGTGGTGAGTAACAAAGTACAAATACTTTATTACTGTACTTAGAATTTTCAGGTATCAGTACTT